CAGCAGGGTTAATCCAGAAGAATTATCTTGAGCGGCTAAAACTGTTCAGATAAATGACATATCAAAAATGGTTTTCTTATAAAATAATCCTAAATTCATGCCGCTTGCCTTTTATTATCAGCCTTTCTCTATGAGGCAATTGGAGACTTGCTGCCTGACCTAAAAAGATCAGGCATTTCAGATTGTTGCAGTAAAAAAGAAAATAACTATTTCAAAGACAAACTCAATTGTTGTAACATGTATTTCTTGGAATACTTCATCATAAACATATAGTGCTGAAAGAGGAGTATATGTGGTTTGAGTAGCAGTATAGAGTAGCAAAAAGAGAAATTTAAAAAGTGTAGCTACTGATGGTGTAGCTACTCACTGCACTGAGTTAGGCAACTGTGGGTTGCATCTTTTACAGCTCTGAGATGTTGCCAGTAAAATTGGGTAACAAAACCACCAATTTTTTGGTAACTTTTTTTAAACAACTGCTTGGGGCATTTACATTTTTAAAAAATGGTTTATTACTGCAATTTTTATGCCACTCAATTCCAAAAAGGTTTTAAATGACTTACAAATAATATAAAAATACAATAAAAAACTTAACGTGGAAAACATAACCACATCTCAGAATCAAGAACAATAAATCTTACTGTCTATTTTAGACATTGTATTAACATTTTTAATACATTACCTTACATGTGTACCTAATGTGCCATTCATAAAGACAGGTTGTCACTTAATTTAACATTCACATTTTTCATATTTATAGATTAGTTTTCTATAAAATTACAGTGAAGTATGTCTATTAAAAAAACACAAATGGAGGATTAAAAACAAGAAAACAGCAAGATGTCATGTGTGCATTGATTCAAGACAACTTACGAAAAAGAACTAGTGAAATGTGATGTGTCAACACTAAGCTGTTAAAGTAATGCTCTCTTTTTTTAGCTGTTGCGTTAGATTTCAGTACTTTATTCAGTAGAGACATTTCCTTTTACTGTTTTCTTCAAGGAAGTGAAAATGTTAGATCAACATGCAGCAGAGATTTAGAAAGACCAACTGGAACGTAATAGTGAGCTTCACGGAAACACTCATGCATAAAGCATAAAGGAGAGGAATGTGTAGTTGTTGCATCCAAAGTGGGTTTTCTGGCTAGTTCTTCAGTGAGAGTGACAATCATTTGAAGGCAATTTTGTAAGAATGTTATTATGGTGGGGGAAAAAAATCAAAATAGCCAAAATACCTTAAGTGTGTATCTACATGTACATATGTGAAGAAAAAGCAATCACTTAATGCAGTGTTGTCCAAACTTGGCCACTTTAAGATGAGTGGACTTCAACTCCCAGA